AAGGGGTCTAGGAAGAGGCCAAGGAGACATAAAATTTTCAAGGACACACATCCAAGTGATCTACTTCTAAACCCACCTCCTTTTCACCACCTCTCAGTAATGCACCATGCCACAAATTCACCAAGGGCTGAATCCATTAAGTCAGGCCATCATAACCTAATTGTCTCCAAAAAGCCTCTCACAAAGGTATGCTTTACCAATCTGCTATTATGGTGGGGAGGGGGGGGAGAGGCTGACTAGGGATTGAATCTTGAATCTAGGGCCTCATGAATGCTTGAGAAGCACTGTCACTGAGCTATGGTCCTGATCTTTCTGTGTTTTTTTTTAACTGAATCAAGCTTACAATGAAGATTCAATCATGGTCTTTATTTCAGTGGTGCTGTCCTGTCCCCTGATCTTCCTGCCTCCGTACACAGTGTCTCTCCCTCCCTCCATCCCTGCCTCCCATCTGCCTTCCTTTCCTTCCTCCCTCCCTCCCTTTTTTTTTTAAAACTGACCTGGGACTTAGTCCCTCTCCCTCAGCTTTTGGGGTGCTAAAGTTACAGGTATCAGGTTTGCCTCAACATGCCACCTGTTTTGGAGGGGGGTCAAAGTGGTATAAATACCACTATCCTGCGGCTGGTGTACACATGACCACACTTGTTAAATCTGTGCAAGACCACCACACCATGCACAAGTGGAAAGCTGTAGGGCCCAGGACAGCAGGACATGACGTCCGCACATTGTTCCTTCTTGTGGTGTTAGCAGCCAACAGAGGGCAGCGGTTCAACATTGCTTTATGGAAGTGTTACACTTCTGAGTAAGTTTATGTGTGAGCTTGCACTATTTCAGTTTTGAGAAATATTAATTAGGAGAAAGTGTGCTTACAGTGTAGGAAAGACATGAGAAAGGTTAAAAAAACATATTTCATTTTTTCTCTTAGTACTTAGGATATTTCTATCATAACATTTTTCCATTTGGAAAATCATCTTGTTTTCAACACTAAGGAAGAGTATCAGTTTGTGTAGTATATTTAAATTCTAGAGAACACCTACTAGATTCCATTTCTAAATATATATTTGTGAGGTCCTGTCTTGGACTATTAAATCCAGATCCTTGGGTGCAGCTGAGTCAGTTAATTTGAATTTAGTTATTTAAGGTCAAAGAAAAAAAATAAGGAAAGGTAAATTCTAGAAATATGAATGTTTTTAATACATTATTAACAGCTTCATTGTACTTAGATATTGATCAAAATAGAATTGATTATAAACATCTGTTTCTAAGACTAAGAATAAAAATGGAAAAAGAGGAGTAAGTGGTTACTAATTTAAGTGATGAATGCTTTTATTACTTCCTTTTAAAGGGGTAAAACTTTAATTCCCACTGTGTAATGATACTGGTAAATGGCATCCCTCCTTAATTTTGCTTGACCATGTTTTTGAACTTGAGTGGCCCCTTCCTGTAAATGTGTGTGTATTAAAGCAGCAGGTTTGTTAGTTCAAAGCATCTCTGCTTGCAGCTGCAAGGAAGAGGGCCCTCAAATCTATTTTAAGTAAGTAGATTCTGTTTAGGTATTGATACTTTTTGATTATTCCTCTACAGTGTCATCTGTAATAAATGAACATTATGACTTGCATTACATCTTGGTTCAGTAATCCTAATTAGAAATACTACTTAATAGCCTAAAGAAAAATCAAATATGATAACTGAATCAAAGTGTTTTAGGGGGTGATATTTGAAGATTGCTTTGAGATTTGAAGTATCATTCGTGTAGAACAATGCAAAAAATAGTTTCTTGTTAAGAAAATGTGAAGTAGGGAAGGAATATGGGCTGTGAGAGTAGGGTTGGCTGGGATTGGAGTCTCAGCCCTGCTGTTGTCTCGCAGCGGAATTTGAAGCTGATTCATCCTATTGAACTCTTCTTAAACTTGGGGTTACTGATTTCAATTGGTGATGTTTGAGTGGCCAGAAGTCAAAACACTTACCAAATTTACTTAATGCTATGGTCATTCATTGAGAATTACATGTGCCAATACAGTTTTAATGCTATGGATCAACTGTGATGTCTTGCCTCAGAAGAATCTTTAAATATCCTTAAACATAGTTACCGAAATATCCTTGAACATAGTGTGGTGTTTTTTGTGAGGAAAGGAACATGGATGAGGCCCAGGAATGAGAGACTTCAGGTACACGAGGTGCTATTAGGAGGGCACTTCTCAAAACGAAACTAAATCCAAATAGCAGGAACATTTGGTTTGCTTTCATTTTGTCATTGAACTCTGGTAAGGCAGGCACTGTATTTTTGTATGTATGTTTTAAGGTAATTTTGGTTTCATATTTATATACTTGAGCATCTTAATTATTCTGTTAGTGTACCAGTTTATCAGACTTCTACCAACTCCAGTCATATGTGGCCATGTATTTAAAAGAAAATGGCTTAAATGCTTATAACTACATGTGTGGAGAACTGACTTAACAAGTTCAGCTTTCATTCCACCTAATAATGGTTCACTACATTAAGTATGGAAGGGCATGCAGGAAACCACGAGAAAATCTTTGCTTTGAAACATTTGCTTTGAAGAGTTTTATTTTACTTTGACTCATCAATCTTTCTAAATAATCAATGTCACACATAAATTATTTGGTTGGAACAAAGGAGCAGTGTATTTGAAGCAGAAGAGAAAAGCTTGCTTCGCTCTGCATCTCTGCCCTGTCATACTCCAGTCTCATTTCCCATCCTAATGGAGTGCACTTAGGGATCAGCCTGTGTCTGTCTGTGCCTTGCCATGTGCTAATGCCTCCATTAGTTACAGAATGTATGAATTCATGTTGAATGTTATTCTGCACCCTTTTTTCTTTCTTTCTTCCTTTTTTTTGCTTAGTATCTCACTGATTTTTTTTTTTTTTGTCAGTAATATAAATCTATCTCAGTACATTTAAGAGTTATTTGGTATTCCGACAGGGGGATGTTCCATTTCTTTTCCAGCACTCTTCAGACAAAGACACCAGTCACACTCAGCTTGAATTAGTTGGATTTATGACCTTTGTAACAAGGGAGATGGAGAGCCACAGGGTGTTTAGGATTTAGAATTGTTGATATTCAAGGATCTGACTTGTGTTAGGTGATTTGGAAAGGGGTTATGGAAGTGGCCTGATGGGTGTCTTAGGTCTCTAGAAAGAACATTGGACTGAGGCTCAGGCTGTGATTAGTAGAGAAGTTGCAGTGCTTTGTCTGCCCTGTATCTAGAATCCTCAGCTCTCCCTGGTCTGCATCTAGATGCCTCAGCTCGTCCTGGCCTGCATCTAGGGGCTTGTTTGTAGTTTTAACCTGTTCTTTTGTGTTCGGTTGTGCTTATTGAGTGATGATGTTCTTGTCCTGCCACAGTCCCACAGTTGCCGGTTTTTAAGGTCAAGCTGATGTCTGTCTGTCTTTGGTTTTTAAGGGCAGCTGATGTCTGGTCCTGTGTTTGTAGTCTTTGTTTCCTTTTATCTTTATTTATGCATAGCAGTCATTCACTATCCTAAAAGTATAAAAACAATCTTCATATAAAAAAATTTTTACTTTTCTTATAAAACATTCCAATTAATAATCTTTTTGGAATATGAAGTATTTTTGTGTGTGTATAAGAGATTAACTTTTCCTCAAAAGTGCTCTGGTCTGCCAGTACCATTTGCTGATTGGTCTTCTTTTCATTAAGTGAAAATGTAAACAGACATCAGCCTGTGGCAAAACTTCTGTTAATTGGTCTCCATCTGACTGACTAAATTAATTGATATTCTCTGTTTCCTTGGTAAAATGCAGAGACTGGAGACAACAGAAAACCAAACATTCACTGGGACAGACCAGTCAGTACTGTCCTGATACAATTCTGTTTAAAGTTTTACATTACTAGCACTATTTCTAAACACTTGTTGCTAGCTATGCTTGTTATTTTATATTTCATATTTAATTCAACATGCACATCTGTAAATTATGAGTTCAAAAATGAAAGATAGGATTCATAGAACACTAAATTGGGTTGTTTTGTTATTCTTATATTTTGGCAACATATCTTATAGCTAGTGAGAACTCTGTATATTTAATGACCATAGATCAAAACTGTTGTGGATCAAGAAATGAAATGAATGAATGAAGGATGACTTTTGTCCTCTAGGAAAATCCCCTGACAATTGAAATTCTTTTTAGAACATGGAATTGAACATACTTTGGTGTTTTGATACTTTGTTTCCTAAATAGCATTTGAATGCATTTCCTTATAAAACATTTTGATGATTCATCATGTCTGATAACTGTAAATTGTAAGAACACACAGATGAAAATTTGTTAACAAAAATCTAAGCTGATAATAGTCCAAATGTAATGTTTTTGTGTGGTAGAATGTTATCTGTATAGGCATTTGGAACATGATATGTGGTATTTCTACTTAGTGAATTAAAAAATACTGATCATTAATTCAAAAGTTAAGAGAAAGAAACTAGATTACTGCATTGTATTAGTTTTCTATTGCTGTTATAATAGTTGTAGAACTTGGTGACTTGAAACAAACAGTTGTCCTCTCACACAGTCCCTGTGGTCAGAGACCACAATGATTTAAGTGGCAGTCTCCCTGATGGTTGAGATACCAGCCCATAAGTGCAATAATCAGAAAATTTGATTACAGCCAAAGAATGCAGTTTCAACATGGTTCACTCATAGAATACTCTCAGGAACCCTAGGCTCTTCCCTATATCGGGCTTTCCATGGCCTATCTAAGCATCTCCATAGCGTGGGAACTGGCTTTCCTTACAGCAGGTAAAGAAAAAGCAGTAATGAGGATGTGTTTTGTGATCTATCCTGACTGGTTGCCTGTCCCCCTGTCCTCTCTCCTGTATTTTATTTGTTTGAAGTGAATCAATAGTATAGTACATAAAGGAAAGGAAGTTAGGATCTAATGAGAGAGTCAGCTATACTGCAGATACTTTGTGTGGATGGATAAGGGATTAAGAATCCATCCATTTTATAACGCTTGGCTTCTTTGTAGGACACTGCCTTAGGAAAACCACGGGAGGTGTTTCGGCTTCCTACAGATCTGGCAGCATATGACAATCGCCTTTGTGCATCGATCCATTTCACATCCCCTACCTGGGTTACCTTGTCAGATGGAACTGGAAGATTATATATCATTGGAACAGGTGACCGTGGAAATAGTGCTTCTGAAAAATGGGAGGTGAGTTTTGTGTTTTTTTTTTTTTTTTAAGTGAAGCAAA